AATTCAGTTCAATTCTGATACTGACTACCTGGAATTAGCCTCAGACCCCAGAGGGGTAAGAGCTCAATTCCCCAGGACTTTCCTCCTCTCAGATGCCAGTTTCCAGTGTTGGGTCTCATGGGTACCCACAACTTGTCTACAAAGTCAGGGGTTCCCACAGGCTTTCCCTTTCAGGTTTGCTAATCTGCTAAAATGGCTCATAAAACTCAAGAAGCCACTTGATTTACGATCATGGGTTTACTACAAAGGTTACAAATGATGAAGAGTTACATAGGTCTTGAGGTCTCGAAGGGTCCCGAGCACAGGGGCTTTTGACCCCATGGAGTTGGGATGTGCTACTCCCCACCATGTGGATGTGTTTACCTACTACCAATCTCTCTGAACTCCATCATTAAAGAGGTTGAATGACATCAGAATGATTGATTAAATCACCAGCCATCAGTGATTAGCCAGGTCTCAAGCCTCTTTGCCCTCTCTGGATGTTGGTGAGGTCAGGGAGTGAGGACTGAAAGTTCCGTATTCCAGAGATCCCAGGAGTCTTAGGAGCTGTGTGTACCAATCACACTGGGGTAAACTGAAATAGAAATCAATAGTGGCTTCTAAGTTTGCCCAGAGCAGACTTATACTTCTCAAAGTGTAGTCCTTGGTCCAGCATCAGCAGTAGCAATTGAGCCTTTGTTAGAGATGCAAATTCTAAGACCCAGCCACAGACCTGCTGCAGCTGAAATCTAGAAGCAGAGCCTGGCACTCCCTGTTTTAATGAATGAGCCCTTCCAGGGTGCTCTGATACCCACTCAAGCTTGAGAACCAGTGAGCCAAGGAATCTAAAGAAGCGGGTATTTGACTCCGATTGAAAGGGATGAGAAGAAACCTGCCGGGGAAGCCCAGAGGCATGGCTGTAGAGCACAGCACCCCAGGTGGAGAGAACAGCAGGTGGACGGCCCTGGGAAGTCAGAGGACCATAGAGGAGCTTGCAGGGCAGGGTCACAGCATCACAGGGCTAGAAGGGCAAGGCTGGGAAGTCCAGAGCTTAAACACAGAAAAAAATGGGCTTTTAGTCTGGGAGTGGCAGGAATGTGTGCATGTGTATGTATATTTTTAAAAGGAAATGCCATTTTTAAAAGGACATTCATTTGCTGGAAAACAGAAGCTGATCCAGAACAGAGTGCTGCTCTTCCCTCCTGAGGGCGGGAGCGGTTGTGAGGCCTTGACTATGAGGCATTTGGGGCATATCATTGCCCACCCCTCGGTACCCGTGTCTGTGTTGAGTGTGACGTGTTGGCTCACAGAGCTGGTCCACTGCTATCTCAGGGACACTGACAGTGATAGGTTTCTGGGACATCACCTCCTTTCCACTGTGCAGCGATTTGGGTCATCGTGCACAACCTCTGTGAATCCTGTACACACCTGCACGTGTCTCTGCCCCGCTGAGTCCCACCTGAGCTGCAAACCGAGCCTTGTCCAGCATCACGGATGGAGCGGGAGCCTGTGACCACTCAGGCTTCTGCAGATTCCACTTCTACTCTCGTCTCCAACACAAGGACGCATCTGTTGAATCGAGGTTCAGGCAGCTGAGCATCAGAATTCTAGAAATCCACCCTGTTTACTGTAAAAAGTATCTGAGACAGATCTCAGTCAATTTAGAAGTTTATTTTGCCAAGGTTAGGGATAGGCCAGAAGAAAGGAAGTCAGAATCCCAGAAACACAGTCTGTGGTTTGTGCCTTTCTCCAAAGATGATTTATTTTGAGAGCTTCAATACTTAAGGGGGAGAAGTGGACTGGAGGAGAAAGAGTAAGGTTATGGTCCCACCACTGAATCCACAGGTCGCAAGGGAAAAGGAGCAGGCAGGGAATCGTCAACTGAGTATTCATCTCACTCAGTAAATCGGCACTGTACACCAGATAAGGTGAACATGCGGTAGCTACCAGTGGGGGTGTTTAACCTTGTATCTGCAGCTTTCTTTTTAGGAACAAAAGGAAAGGCAGCTTTTTGCATGACTCAGTTTTCAGCTTGATTTTTCCTTTTGGCGTAGTGAATTGGAATCCTGAGTTTTTCTTTTCTTTTAGCATTACTCTCGCCCCATGGTGTCATCCCCTTTCAAAGGCTGCCCTGAGCAGCTCCCTCCCCCCACCTCCACTACACCTGCCTGGGGGGATGTTGGACACTCAAAGGCCAATCCCAAATCCATCTTTGATTTTCCTAAATTGATCTTTTAGAACAGATGTTGAAACTGCAAATTTACCAGAGTACTAGAAATATTTACTTGTATTGTCTTTCTGTTGCCCCAAGGGATTGAGGTCCATCTTCAATGGACGCCTCCTTAGTCCTCTTGTTTTTAGTCTGTAGCGGTTTAAATCTTGTTCTTTCATAGAAATATTCTTCTTCAAGAGGCTCAATATGTTAAAATAATTTTCTTACATGTTTAGAGTATGTATCAAAGTCATTTTTAAATAACCTATTCCTGATCAAAGATCACTAAAATCAGAGAAATAATTGCAAAATTCACCTTAAGGGGGCATCATGCACTTACCTGGGTTAAATATATAATTCTGCCAAGTTAGCAGAGAGATGACTGGTTTTACAAAACTAGGAGGGTCCTATGTAACTTCTCTTTCTGCTTTATCAATGCTCAAAGGGCTAAACCCCCAAAAATGGGTGGTTTGGGGCTTAGAGCCATGAGCTCCTACAGTGGCTCCTGCTTTAGAACTTAGGAGAGCTGCCCTCCTCTTTACACTTGAGAAAACTGATAATGTGTGGAGTGTGACTTTCCCTTCTGAATGGCCCCACTCCTTTTGACTAAGCAATGCCAAAATGTCAAACTTGTTTTCAATGTATATTTTAGAGACTTCCAATTTTCTTTAAGTCAGGAGGGGTTTGACTTCTGTGGAACTGGCATGAGAGATTTTCATGCCTGGTGTCTACAGTCTGCTCCTTTCCTCTTCGGAGACAATCTCTTTGTTGTATTTCCTTATAAGCAAACTCTGAGTTGTCTGAGTCCGTCTGAGTTGTACACGGCTTGGGCTGCAGAGGAGTGAGAACAGGTGTTCTACCCAATCTGCAGGATTCATTCATCCGTATTTCCAAAGACAGTGATAAAATCACTTTTAGTTCTGAATGTATTTTGTGTTTATTTCATTTATTTATTTATTTTTTTATTTTTTTATTTTTTTTGGGGACAGAGTCTCGCTCTGTCGCCCAGGCTGGAATGCAGTGGCACGATCTCAACTCACTGCAAGCTCCGCCTCCTGGGTTCAGGCCATTCTCCTGCCTCAGCCTCCCAAGTAGCTGGGACTACAGGCGCCTACCACCATGCCTGGCTAATTTTTTGTATTTTTTAGTAGAGACGAGGTTTCACCATGTTAACCAGGATGGTCTCAATCTCCTGACCTCGTGATCCGCCCACCTTGGCCTCCCAAATATTTTGTGTTAATTTTAAATCAACACTAGTTTGGTTCTATTTATTTTTTCCCCTACTGCATTAACTCTTTTGAGACAGGGTTTCCCTCTGTCATCCAGGCTAGACTGCAGTGAAGCACCATTTCAGCTCACTGCAGCTTCTGCCTTCCAGGCTCACATGATCCTCCCCTCAGCCTCCTGAGTACCTGGGACTGCAGGCGCGTGCCACCATGCCTGGCTATTCTTCGTATTTTTTGTAGAGATGGGATTTCGCCATATTGCCCAGGCTGGTCTCAAACTCCTGGACTCAAGCGATTCACGTGCCTAAGCCTGTCAAAGTGCTGGGATTGTAGGTGTGAGCCACCATGCCTGGTCCTGCATTCACTCTTTAATATCATTCCTCAAAGTGTCTTTTAGCTGTAATTTTTTTTTTTTTTTTTTTTTTTTTTGTCGGAGTCTTGCTCTGCCGCCAGGCTGGAGTACAGTGAGCGGCACGATCTCGGCTCACTGCAACCTCCAACTCCCTGGTTCCAGCGATTCTCCTACCTCAACCCCCTGAGTAGCCGGGAATATAGGCACATGCCACCACGCCCAGCTAATTTTTGTATTTTTAGTAGAGATGGAGTTTCACCATGTTGGTCAGGATGGCCTCGATCCCCTGACCCTGTGATCCACCCGACTCAGCTTCCCAAAGTATCTCTTTTTTATTGTGGCAAAATATATGTAAAATTTGCTATTTTCACCATTTTTGAATGTACATTTTAGTACTATTAAGTACATTCACATTGATGTACAACCATCACCAGCATCATTTTCAGAATTTTTTCATCTTCTCAAACAGAAACTCTGTGACTATTAGACATTAGCTCCCAATTCTCCCTCCTCCGAGATCCTGGTAACCATCATTCTACTTTCTGTCTCAATTAATTGACTATTCCTGGTACCTCACTTAAGTTAAAATCCCTTTGAGATAAATTTAATTAATTGAAATATTGAACAAATATAGGAATGTTCACAAAGTCTTAAATAGATAGAGGCTGAGAATCAAACAAACTTGCATTTCCATCGACTTCCTTCTATGCAACACCTAAGTCATGATTGTTAAAGTTAGCCTTTCAGATTTAGCTCTCTGAATTCTCTGGTGACAAACTGCTTGTTGTTTTGTTGTCTGTGTTTCCTGCTGATTTATTACTGTTTCTTGTTGTCATCTCAAATGGAAAAGTGGAACAGGCATATTTAATATTGGTGTTTCTGCTGAAAATCCACTGGTGTTTTCAGCTATGGAAAGAGTAGAAAAGAAGCAGGTACATTTCAGCAAATGTATGATGACATCGATCGCAAAACGAATGTTGACTTTAAAGATGTTCAAATAAAAATATGGAGGGAAAATATATACATCTTAAAATGAATGAAACTCACTAATTACAACTTATGAAGACACGTCAGAAAAGTGGAATATTAATAGTTGGCCAGTTAGTCATTCACACAAAGATATGCCAGTATGGCTAAGATTTTTTGAAAGAGATTTTATTAGCTCACCATCTACCTTTTACTGTGGGGCATGCATGTGAGTCTTTATTCTACTTGTCATCCTTCTCTATAGGACAGATGACTGTGAGGGAGGGCTGCTACAGAGACCTGAAGTTTCAAGTAAATACATCTTTCTGCAATCCCAAGACTCGACCTGTCACGGGGCTGGTGCCTTGCAAAGTGTCCGCCTGTCCTCCCAGGTAAGAAGCATCGTGTTCATCAAAGCAGGTTTCCCAGGTTGCAGACGTGCTCAGTGAGTCTTATAGCTCCTGATATAGACAGAGAAGTGCTGATTGCCATCATGTCACTCATAACAGTGGAGAAGCAAAGGGGACAAGAGCTTCCTGGACAAGGGACCTAGAGAGTATGTTTAGTTGGGAAGTGGTCTGGAAATTCCTGTGACTGTAAGTGGACATTCTTAGAATGGTGTCCTATTTGTTGTATTTGTGCTTTCATTGATTGCAGGCTGGCAGGAGTGATAACACGCTATGGTGATAATGATGCATTCTCTCTTAGCCTGCTGTCCTGTCCACTAGTGTGTGCTTTTCTTGCCGAATGAAACTTGCTGGAAGAACGCGTTAAAAGGCCTGCCAGTGGGGAATGGACCCTGGATTCCTCAGTGCCTTGCAAACATACAATTGTGAGGGCTGGAGCCACAGAAAGTCAGGGTTCTTGTCACCCTACTCTACCCTCACTGCTACTGCCCCTAGGAGTTCCTAAACCCAAGCTTGGGTTCTCTAAGGCAGGACGTGGGGAAGGACCCCCTTGAGGCAGCCATGGTCCTACCACACTGTCAGGAGCTATCACGTCTGGGCAAGGCCTTCATCCCGCTGTTCTTCACTTTCTTCATCTTTAAGTGGGACATGTCACAAAAGGTTGTGAAAACTGATGCAGGATTTTTCTCAGGCCCTTTGCTGGACTCCTAGCAGGGGCGCCTTGTCTACTTGGCCTCCTGCACTCAGCCCCTTGTGGGAGGGAGCATGTGAGCAAGTGTGTACAGGATCCAGCTTGTCGATCTGAAGACACAGGAGCAAGCTCCAGGTAAAGTCCGCAGCCAGACCAGGCGTGTTGCCTGGAGAGGAACATAGTGGTACCCAGGCAAGGGTGCCCGTGACCCCAGATCCCCAGAGTGGGTGTTAATGTGCTAATTAGCTTTTTTAGTTCCATCATCCACAGCCCAATGAACAGAGGTGTGTTAGCAGCTCAGTCAGCCCCAACCCTGTAGTGTGGGGCAGCTGCCCTCCACCAGCAGGGGCAAAGGGCCAGCCTTTCTGGTACCCACGCTCAGTGGGCCCCAAGCTCTTGTCCAGCATCCAAGAAGAATGAGGTCATGCTTGACCACTGAAGGATGGTGAGGGCAGATGATTTTATCAAGTGATAAAAAAAGCTCTCAGCAGGGAGGGGAGCTGGAGAGGGTATGAAAATGGCAGGTCGTCTTCTCCCAAAGTCAGCAGGTCTCCTCCCCCAAGTTAGGGCATCTCCCCTCTACCAACTGAGCCTGGAGTCTTTAGAGGTCTCCTCCCCCAAGTTAGGCCATCTCCCCTCTACCAACTGAGCCTGGGGTCTTTAGAGGCACAGGATGGGGGCAGGCCAGGCCATATGTACTATTGGAAAGGGCAACATTCGATTGCTTAAAAGGCATTATTGAGAAAGAACCAACTGAAAGAGAGTAGGCAAACAGGAATGGAAGTTCTCCCTCTGGTCTGTGGGTTTTGGGCTGTTTTTGGCTTGAAGTTGGGGTTTCATGGGGACTTGCCCCTGTCTGCCTAGGATTTCTCTGCCTCCTGCCTCCATTAAAATGCACCTGAGATCACATATTTACAGAATGAAATTCTAGCTCCAACTAGATCTTTCAAATAGCCCAAGGCACTCGAAGACTTAATACAAGATAATCTAATACATTTTGATGATAAAGATCCACAATAGCTGGCAAATTGATTCCAAGTTTGCTGAACTATGCCTCAAAAGCAAGAAGCTGGGTACTCTCCCCGAGGCAATAAAGTACAGGAAGACGGGAGGCACTCTCTTTTTGGAGGTGTTACCCCTGGTCTCTCAGTAAAGAGAAGGAGGTCACTTACCAACATTTGAAGAGCCAGGACCCTTCTTGCAATCACAGTAAGGAGGACACCTCCTTGGGAAGATCTTGTCCTCCCAGCACACCTGCCCCTGATGTGATCGGGGACCTGTCACCTTATAAAGCCACCACCCCTGCCTCAGTCACGGTTCCTGAACCACCACTTCCCAAGACCTGCTATGGAGAGAGATGCAGTCAGAATTTACACAAGAAATTAAGTGCTTAAGATGCAGCACACTGAGGCGTGGGACTCCCTCTGGGAGACTCTTCCCAGTATCAACCAGGGCCTGTGGAGTTGATGCACACCCATGATGATGCTCCACGGCCCTCAGCTGTCCCTGAGCCAACCCTGTGGGCCACTGCAGTAGAGCTGGCTGCTGGCCTTTCCCACCCTGACAGGCCTCCAGCCTGTGCTGAGCTCCATGACAAGAGCACAGCCCACTCACCAGAGGCTCCCTCTGTGTCTGGAATGACACAGCAAATACAGACACACCCACATCGTTTAGGAAATAAACCCCATGGCTGGCTGAGGCAGTATGTAGCATGGCACCGTTGTGGGCAAAAGTGATCTTCCTGTCCGAAGGAAATGGAAGCCCCTTGCTGAGTTGTGTCAGAGAAAAACGAAGCCAAATACTGGATAAAGTGGTCAGGAGAGATTTTAGTCAGTGATCCCTGCTGCAATAGGGAAAACATTGTGGCCTGAAGTGAACTCCCCTTAGATCAGCAGAGATGACTGGGCATTTTACAGGGAGAATAGAAGAACAGGGAGGGGCAGACTCAGGGCTCAGGAGAGTTGGGGAGGTGAAAACCTGCAAAAAGCATGAAGAAAGGTTGGTCCTTGTGAAATCTCTCGGTTTGCCAACTGGCGATCATAGAAGTGAGGCTCCCACTTTCCCACAGAGACTGGGAGACGGGGGTCCTATCTTCAGGTGTCAGCCAGAACAAACAGGAAATGCTTTGGGAAGCCTTGAGATTTCTCAGACAGGCACTTTAAAAGGGGCTGGGGTTATCTTAGGGATGTAGCCTTGAGCTGTCAGAAACCATGTTAGTGTTTCTTCAGGACTTCATAAGCCCAGGTGAGGCCTTGTGGTGAAGCGGGCTCAGAGGAACCTGGCTAGAGTTAGGCCAAGGACAGAACATTGTCAACTGCTGCAGCAACTCGATCTCCCACCCCCTGCTCCCTAGACAGTGGAGTCTGCGTGCATTCCAGTTGGTGTTGACATCACTGTGACCTTGATTGCAGGTCCTTGCCTTGCCATATGGAAATTGGGAGCATCGCTTCCTGTGCTGAATTCCTCTTTCCATACCGTGTTTAGTCCAGGTTTGTTAAGCGAGAAGCATCTGTGGTTCTTCAAGGTACCTAGTTACCAGTGCTGTGAAGTGGGGAAACCACTAAATTAGACTTAAAGAAGTGTGTGTGTATGTGTGTGTGTGTGTGCGTGTGTGAGTTTCACATGCAGGAGGAACTAGGGTTACTAGTTCCATATGGAAGTAAATCCGTCAGGATGTTAAAGCTCAGGGTATTTGGAAATGTTGAGTGCTTGAATGCTATTTCTCAAGCTAGTCATATTAATGGATCAAGCATAGCCTTGCAGTCTAGTCGGCCCTGGTCTACTCAGTGAAGCCCATCTAAAAAGAATGCTAGAGAAAACTCACCCCAACACAGGAACAAGCTACCAGTGTCTGGGCTCCTAATTGTGTGCTTCGAAGTATCACATAATTCAGATACAAAGTGATAGTTGGGATACCCCTGAAGAGACCCCTTTGCATCTGCAAATTCCACAGGACCAGGCATAGAAAGCAGGAGAGCTGGCGGCCTCAGGGCAGCAGAGAGAAGCAAAAGCAGTGGCAGAGGGGAGCAACTGCGTCCTTTCCCTAGGACAGGCCTCCGTCCTACCGCAAGGGGAGAATGCTGGCAGCTGCTTCGGTTCTTTCTTGGAAAGAGCAGAAGAGTTCATTTAAATTATGGTTGCCCATTGTTGCAATCTGCTTGTTGGTTGTTTGTTTTCTCTCTTGCCGCCTCCCCCATAGTGCCCAGAGGGACGTCCTCCTTGACACTCACGGCAAGAGGAAACCTGGGATGTGGGGGATGGGCCCAGTGGGAAGGGAGCTCTCCTCCTCCTGGGGCTACTCTTCCTGGTGTTACCCAGACTTCTTCTTCAACCAAACCTCAGGTAGAACATGCTCAACAGGAGATTATGTGGCTGCTCGTTTACTGTCACTCTTAGTGGTTTGCTGTTTCTATATCGTCTCACCCTGTTTTAAATCTGTCCAAACATTGCTTTCCAAGCAAGACCATAATACAGTTATTGAATTTCAATAATGGAAATCTAAGCAGCTTCTTACATGGTCAGGTAAAATTGCCCTTACCCTCAACCATTATCCAAGACTGTCATCCTCACCTCTTGTATCCATTTCGATAAATCTTTGTTCCTGGTACAGAATTTTCGCACTTACTATCTGGAAATATCTCTTTGGAATTGAAATGACAGGAGCTCCCTTTTCCGCTTGCAAGGTGTACAATGAGGGTGTGGCTTGCTTCTTTGATGGCCCGCTGCCCAAACCTCTACGGGGTGCAGGCAGATGGGCAGGTTGTGGGGCTCCGACCCCACAGCAACGTCTAAGCGTGAATGTTTAGGGCTCCTGAATTCCCAGAGGGCCCGTGTTACAATGTGTTTTTCTAGTTTTGCCTTTCCTAGGCAACTTGTGTTAATCAGCTCAATTAGACCCTTTGCCTTATCCCAAGGACAGAGGGCTTTCTGTATCCTGGGTTCTTGCCTTGGTGTACTGGAAAAATTGTATCACACATGGGCTTGGAGAATGAGTACAAGGTTTTATTGAGTGGAGGTAGCTCTCAATGAGGCAAATGGGGAGCCAGAAAGGGGATGGAATGGGAAAGTGGTCTTTCCCCTGGAGTTGGGCTGCTCCACAGCTGAGTTCTCTGACCGTCCCAGACAAGCTCTGGTTGATGGCGGCATCTGCTGGTGCCTGTCAGCACGCCCCTCCACCAATGTGTTTCTCTCGACACCCGACCGCTTGTGTGTTCTTCCACCAATGTGTTTCTCTCGACGTCCAGCTGCTTGTCTATGTGCTGGCTAGGGTCTCAGGGTTTGTATAGGCACAGGA